AATGGCGTAAACCTGGGAGGCGGAGCTTGCAGTGAGCTGAGATCCGGCCACTGCACTCCAGCCTGGGCGACAGAGCTAGACTCCGTCTCAAAAAAAAAAAAAAAAAAAAGATTAAAGGCTATAAGCAATGTGACTTTTAAGCAGCATTTGTTCTCCCTTGTTTCCTACCAGTTATATGAAGCCTACAGTAAAGTCTGTCGCAAACAGCAGGTGGCAGCTGTGGACCAGTCAGAGTGTTTGTCACTTTCAGGGCTCTTGGAAGCCAGGGGCATTTTAGGATTAAAGAGAAACAAGGAAACCCGTTTGACAAAGGTACAACTGCTTTTTTGTGACAGTTTTTAATTGTTCTATTTTGTAGAGTGATGCTAAAGTAAAGGTTTATTGTTAAACGAGATGACCACAATTAGTTAAACAGGTCGATTTTTGTTAGGTAAGGTTTAAGGTGTATAAAGATGGGAGTGTGATATGAATATTTTTTCAGGCCATTGGAAAAAAAAAAGTAGTAGAGACTTTTGTCTTTTGTGAGAAAAGTTTAATATGGTATAAGTTTGTGTACTGACAACTTTGCTTTTATGAGTTCTCCAGTGTGAAAAATCCTTTTCTTTTCTTTACAGGTGTTTTTCAAGATTGAAGAGAAGGAAATAGAGCATGCTCTGAAAGATAAAACTTTAATTGGAAATATCTTAGCTACTGGATTGCCTTAAATTCTTCTCCTACACCCCACCTGAAAGTATTCAGCTGGCATTTAGAGAGCTACAGTCTTCATTTTAGTGCTTTACACATTCGGGCCTGAAAACAAATACGACCTTTTTTACTTGAAGCCAATGAATTTTAATCTATAGATTCTTTAATATTAGCACAGAATAATATCTTTGGGTCTTACTATTTTTACCCATAAAAGTGACCAGGTAGACCCTTTTTAATTACATTCACTACTTCTACCACTCGTGTATCTCTAGTCAATGTGCTTGCAAGTGTACAGATCTGTGTAGTGGAATGTGTGTATATTTACCTCTTTGTTTGCTCAAACATGAGTGGGTAGTTTTTTGTTTGTTTTTTGTTTTTTGTTTTTGAGGCCGCATCTCACACTGTTGCCCAGGCTAGAGTGCATTGGCGTGTTCTTTGCTCACTGCAGCATCCGCTTCCCAGGTTGAAGCGATTCTCTTGCCTCAGCCTCCCGAGTAGCTGGGATTACAGGTGCCCACCACTGTGCCCAGCTAATTTTTGTATTTTTAGTAGAGACAGGGTTTTACCATGTTGGCCAGGCTGGTCTTGAACTCCTGACCCTCAAGTGATCCACCCACCTCGGCCTTCCAAAGTGCTGGGATTACAGGCGTGAGCCACCACGCCCAGCCATGAGTGTATTTTGTTAAGAACTTTGAGGTTAGGGTAAGAAGAATGAAAATGATCCAGAAAAATGCAAGCAAGTCCACATGGAGATTTGTAGGACACTGGTTAAAGAATTTCTTTCTTTTTGGAGTATACTATGTTCATGGTGCAGATAATATGACATTATGGCATTTTAAAGACTCGTTGAGTTTCTTGGGCACTCCCAAGGGCGTTGGGGTCATAAGGAGACTGTAACTCTACAGATTGTGAATATATTTATTTTCAAGTTGCATTCTTTGTATTTTTAAGCAATCAGATTTCAAGAGAGCTCAAGCTTTCAGAAGTCAATGTGAAAATTCCTTCCTAGATTGTCCCACAGTCTTCGCTGCCCTTGGATGAAGCCACTTATTTCAAGATGCTTACTTTGGGGTTGGGTTTTCATCTAAACACATTTTTCCAGTCTTATTAGATAAATTAGTCCATATGGTTGGTTAATCAAGAGTCTTCTGGGTTTGGTTTGGTGGCATTAAATGGCAATTTGTGACTGAGACACCAGAGGGCACCATTATAACATTGACTGCTTTGAAAGGGGATGCTTGAGGCTGAGGTAGTTTTGAGGGAAAGGGGAAAGTTCTAGTTTGATTTGTTTGGGAGATTGCTGTACTTTTATAACTCAAGCAAATGCTTGAAGTGTAAACCATGTGTGATACGAATGATCTGAGAGCCAGTGACCAAGTCTGCTTTTCCCAGAGCTCTCCTGCTGCCGCCTCTACCTTTCTGACATGGCCTTCCATTTGGGAACTTGATATGTGTACAAATGATATGTTGGCCACTGTTTCATTCATCCTGACCACTGTATCCTTGTAATGTGATCTGAACTACAACAGGTGGTATGGGATAGAGGCAGGGAAAGCAGAGAGAGCCCTCTGAAATGAATACTACCCACTGGTGTGTGTAGCACAAGATAGTCTGTAGGCATGAGCCTGAATGTTGTTCTCACACTCCTTTACTAGAGCATTCATTCCCTCTGAAGGCAGTTCGAACATGGAAACACAGTTCTATACCTAGAAGGTTGGAAAGTGTCTGGGAGTATAAGGGTTAACAGGCATAATTGCAAAGATTGTCCAAAGACTGATGGAGAGCAGAGACTGAATGGGATTGAGAACAGATGCGAAGCTTGATTTAAATTACATTTTATTGGATGCTGCAGCCTTAAGAGACGTGACTGCTTTACAGTTTGTTTCCACACTGTGGGCAGCTGCTGTCTGTTCTGTGTCCACAATAGGATCCTGCCCAATAAGGAGCAGCCTCCCCACCTCGTTGTGTTTGAGGCTTGGCGCCTTCGTCTTAACTGTAGGGCTTGAGTCAGGAACATGGCTTGACTCGCAGTGGGGCTGCTATGTATCCTCCCTGGCTTCCAGCCAAAATCACATTGGTAGATTCGAAGGGGCCAAATTTGTTTCCCCTCTATCTCCTTTCTCTCTCTTTCCCCTGGTTTTGAAAATAGGGTTTTCTGTCTACTAATTTGTTAGTTTCCTTTTCTTTACTTCTCCCCTCACTGTCAATTTCTAGGTCATTGCTTCTCTTAAGACTTTAGCAATTGGAACAGGGTTGGTTCTGTCAATGATGCGTGAAGCAGACTTAGTGTCCCTGCTTGGCTTCCGCTGCCCTTGTGGGAGCAAAAACTGATATATATTTGTCAGTAAAGTCTTAAGTGTAATGCAGACTGCTGAGGAAGAAAGCCCTTTTCTTGCTGGCTTTTCTCACTGAAGCTGAGAGCTACAGGAAGGTGGTAGGAGTTTTAGTGGGATGGGATGGGATGGGCTTGTGGTTAGCAGTTTTTGCCACGATCATAGGCTGCTTCACTTAGAGCAGTGGCAAAGATGCTGACCTACATTCTTCCTTTTGAAGGTGATGAAGTGTCTGTCTATATCCTGGTTTATCTCTCACCCCCACCCCAAGGAAGCTGATTAAGCTTCCATGGAGTATTGGATATTGCCATGGAAAGAGCATAGACAAAATAAATTGGTGTGTATTTCAACCCCAGAGCTGTCACAGACATTTCTGGCTCAATGGAGACTTGCTTGTGGCTAGCTAACTCTGCAAGAATGTGTGAGGTCCAGGCTGGGCGTGGTGGCTCACGCCTGTAATCCCAGTACTTTGGGAGGCCGAGGCAGGTGGATCATCTGAGGTCAGGAGTTTGAGACCAATCTGGCCAACATGGCGAAACCCTGTCTCTACTAAAATAAAGTAGCCAGGCATGGTGGCGTGTTCCTGTCATTCCAGCTACTGGAAGGCTGAGGCAGGAGAATGACTACAACCCGGGAGGCAGAGGTTGCAGTGAGCCGAGATAGCACCATTGCACTCCAGCTTGGGCGACAGAGTGAGACTGTCTCAGAAAAAAAAAAAATGCCGGGTGCGGTGGCTCATGCCTGTAATCCCAGCACTTTGTGGGGCCAAGGCAGGCGGATCACTTGAGGGTCAGGAGTTCAAGACCAGCCTGGCCAACATGGCGAAACCCTGTCTTTACTAGAAGTACAAAAATTCACCTGGCACCGTGGTACACACCTATAATCACAGCTACTCGGGAGACTGAGGCAGGAGAATTGCTTGAGCCTGGGAGGTGGAGATTGCAGTGAGATGAGATCATGCCACTGTACTCCAGCCTGGTGACAGAGTAAGACTGTCAAAAAATAATGTGTGAAGTCCAATCTACCCAGGGATCAAAAAGTTGGCAGAGCCTTATTCTCTCTGAGCCCCCCGTTTGCATTCCTCCCTATCTTTACTAAGTGTCCCTTTGAATATACATCAGGCCAGGTGTGGTGGCTCATGCCTGTAATGCCAACACTTTGGGAGGAGGCAGCAGCGGGAGGATTACTTGAAGTCAGGAGCTTGAGACCAGCTTGGGCCACATAGTGAGACCCCCCCTTACCCTTCTCTACCAAAAAAATCTTAAAAATTAGCTGGGCATGGTGGCATGCACCTGTAGTCCTAGCTACTCGGGAAGCTGAGGTGGGAGGATGCTTTGAGCCCAGGAGTTCAACTCGGCATGGGCTGTGATCACACCACTGCATTACAGCCTGGGTGACAGAGTGAGACCCTGTCTCTAAAAGTAAAAGACAGAAAGCAGATACACCAATAAGAATGAGAAGTTGGGAATAAGATGTGACTTTGTGACTTCGGTTTTATATATATATATATATATTTTTTTTTTTGTAAGACTGAGTCTCGCTCTGTCACCCAGGCTGGAGCAGTGGTGCGATCTCTGCTCACTGAAAGCTCCACCTCCCAGGTTCACGCCATTCTCCTGCCTCAGCCTCCTGAGTAGCTGGGACTACAGGTGCCCACCACCACGCCCGGCTAATTTTTTCTGTATTTTTAGTAGAGACGGGGCTTCACTGTGTTAACCAGGATGATCTCGATCTCCTGACCTCGTGATCCGCCCGCCTCGGCCTCCCAAAGTGCTGGGATTACAGGCTTGAGCCACCATGCCTGGCTGGTTATATATTTTTTAAATATCTTGAGAGGTGTTAACCTTGACTGCTGAGGGAGAACAAAAGAGAGCCAAGATTGAAATTTTATTTACATTTGTATCTGTCCCTAGCAATTAGCGTAGTGCCTAATACCTGGTAGGTACTCAATAGTTGCTGAACAGATAAATTAACCAAATAAGATGCTGCCTTTTCCTCCATGGTGAGAACAGTTCCAAGGTGAAGGTAAATGTTGGTACTTTTGCACAAAGGTGGAGCAGGCCTCTGCATAAGAAGGGTGCTCTGTCTTAGAAAATGTGTCTTGGCACAGTTTTGGAGCATTAGCCTCACAGATGCATTCCAATCACTCCCTCTGATGTAGTGGCATTTTGCTTGAGGCAACTTCCATGTTGCTGGTGGGACGCTTTGGCTGTGCGGGGAAGAGTCTCACCTACAGGCTGGCAAGAGGGCTGCCTGTCCGGATGTTACGCAGTGTGGCTAGATTGGCTAGAAGTTGGGTCTCTAGGCAAGGGTTTAGGGAGAAGCCCATCTTTGATGTCCCACTTTTTTTTTTTTGAGACGGAGTCTCGCTCTGTCGCCCAGGCTGGAGTACACTGGTGCGATCTCGGCTCACTGCAAGCTCCGCCTCCCGGGTTCACGCCATTCTCCTGCCTCAGCCTCCCGAGTAGCTGGGACTACAGGTGCCCGCCACCACGCCCGGCTAATTTTTTGTATTTTTAGTAGAGACGGGGTTTCACCGTGTTAGCCAGGATGGTCTCGATCTCCTGACCTTGTGATCCGCCTGTCTTGGCCTCCCAAAGTGTTGGGATTACAGGCGTGAGCCACTGCGCCCTGCCTGATATCCCACTTTTTAACTTGGGGAAAGTTGTGATCTCAGGTTCCTCCTGAAAAGATAAGGTACCTTCTAAGATACCTTCTCTTAAGCTACAAACAGTGCAGGTCTTCCTCTTAGAAGCAGTGTGTTCTGTAAGGGGAGAAGGTGTGCCCTCTGGCCTCCCCTTGATTTTCAACCCCAGCCCCAAGGCACTGGCAGTGGAAGTTAATTGGGTGCAAGGGGCTTGGGTAAAGGCTGAAGACTGACGAAAGGAGAGAGCCAGCTTCGTTTTTTAAAAAGCTCTAATTGAGTTCTGAATCAGCCTCACTCCCTTTGATCCCTCCTCTGTTTCCCACACTGCCTGAAAGAGCTAGATCAGCACTTTATAACAAGGGTGCGCCTGCTCCCCGCACCGCCCCCCCTCTCCTGACGCTCTCTGCTGCCGCCATCCACTGCTTGTCTCCTTCAGTTAAGATAATGAAGATGCTGAGAGATAAAATGTGTATTTAATAAGGGTGGGGGTAGGGCGGCGGAAAGGGGCAACCAGGGCCTTCCCTAGTTTGGGGCCTCGCCAAGACTTAAGCTGAAAGCAAAGCTAGAGTAAGACTTGGCCCCAGGGTGTGGGGGTTTCTGGGCCTCAATCCAGCTGACTTCACTGCCTGCTGTTTGCCCTAAATTCCCCCACCTCCACCCTCTCACCCCCACACTGCTTTCTTCTTGCTCCCAATGGGAAAAAGGACTCTTGCTTCAACTTTCTTTTCAGCTGGTAACTTGGCCTTTGGTGCAGTGGCCCCCACCCCAGTGTCAGCTGCAAGGTCGGGCTAGGGCAGCCCCCTCTAGCCTAGGCCTGTAGAAGCTGTGGGTTCACAGTGGGGGGTGAAAAAGCTGGAGTTAATGAAGACCAGCTGCTAGTCTGGGTTCTGCCTACAACTAGCTGGAGGCCGGCCTTTGGTGGTGGTTGATGGGGGGTGGGGTGACCTCCATCCATGGGCACAAGGATATCCTGTGGCAGCTAGGCTTGTGCGTCTCTCTGAGCTT